GTTTTCCAATGCAATTTTATTACAGGCTCTAAATTATATGTTCCCAGGAAAGGTCTGTCTTTAAACTTTTAGGTCAGAATTGTTCAGATCTTTTCACACTGAATCAATCAGGGTTAAAGCTGGCAAAATCCTTGGCAGCCTTGTAAATCTTTCAAAAGATGTTATCCAATTACCCTTCATGGACCACAGGATCCTACAACGTGACTATTTCCTTCTCGACAAGGAATTAAGTGCTCATAAGAGGTTAGAAAGCATCAGAGTTGAAAAGTACAGTTCTGCATTTTTCCTGCAGTTCACATGATGAAATCTGCCTCAGACACTCAGATCCAAACAGTGACCCTACGTCACTGAGTTTTAAATTCAAAAAAAGCAAAAATTACAATAATGCCAGAATAGTTCCTGTAACAAAAACCTTATTTTGGACCTGTGTTAAGAATTTAGCATAAAGTTATATCCCAAATGGAAAGGAAAAAAAATAAAATAAAAACAACCAGTGTGGCTCCCCCTCTCCTTTGAAAGATAAATTTTTAGCCTCATTCAAAAAAAAGAAAAAATACACATGGGGTTGAAAAAAGAAAATGATAAATGTACTTCTTTGGTTTGGGGTTTGATCTCCAAAAAATGTGCTTATTTTCCATTTTAAAAAAAAATGCATATTAATCTCTGTTTGTTCTTCCTTCTCTGGGTTGTCAATATAGAATACTAATAAAAGGCTAAAGAGACATTCAATTTATATAAAAGCCTATTTCATGCCACTCGGTTTCAAAGGGACAAATAATCATGAGCCGGATCACTTTGAAATAATTTTTTAAGGAGAGAACGTGAACATGCCTATGGATTTCTGCACCGCAGTTAGAAAAGCACTGCTGTCCTTTGTGATGGAAAAAGCCCAGTGAGGCTGTGGGATTGTAGCTGCACCTTTGACCTCAAGGCCTCTGGAGTCATTCACTTGTCATGACCTTTGACCTTTGGCAAATCACGACCCTGACTGTCTGTTTTGCTTGATTTTTACTACCTAGGACAAAAGATCTTTCCCCCTCTGGAATACATAAGCAGAAGTCACAGAAGTGTTTGAAAATAGGTTGTCAGCCCACAGTCTGGCAAAGAGAGGGTAAATACCAAAAAAAAACAAAACCCAAACCCAAAGCACGAAGGAAAAGGCTCGAACATTTAAAGTGTCCTCCAGAGCGGCAGATTGATTTCAGGGGCTACAGTGTGAGCACTTGGCCACATGTGTTCCCTCTTTTAAAACCTTTGTTTTCTTTGATTTAAAATGTGCTATAGCCAGAGGTAGGAAGGTCAGTGCTTTTATAAATTGTGCTTCTGATTCTTTGCAGGCCAGTCATTAGGAATTGCAGACATCACCCCACAGTTCTGAGTTCATCAACACTTCCTTTTAACCACTATCTAGATTGCTTCCATCTCCATAGAAATGCAATTCCTCTTATCAGGATTGTGAGTGAAAGGTGAATACATGTAAACAGCAGAGCGAATGTAGTATTGAAGCCAACCTCGATGAGACAGCTGGGCAATTCAGAGTCAAAAACATGGATAGAGAAACGTTCTCGACTGAATATTCAGTGACTTCATGCATACACATCTATGTCCCAAAATCACTTCGTCTTTGTGATATCAACGTTAAGAATCCAGTACGCATTGCTGATGGGTAGTCATCAACGTGGGTTGTCAGGATTTTCTCCCTCATACTCTAATTTGCTTGCTTGTTTGTTTAAATACAAACAGGGGAAGAGGCAAAAACCTGAAGCTATAGATTCATAAACTGTCTGCAAACAAACCCAAATAAAGTGTGCTTTTTCACCAAGAAAGAATGGAATGTTCTGAATCCTAGGGGTGCAGAGGAAGGTGCAGGCTGGTGGCTGGAGATTCCATGATCCTATGGAAGCTGCTATTAGTAAGTCAAACTCCATTTTGTTTCCAAGCTGCCATGTTTAAGACTTTCTGACTTAGCCATTAGGGGAGCATAAAAATATCAAAATAGCAGGGCCCTCCCTCTGGCGCAACAGGTTGGAGTGCAGCACTATGAAGCTCTCTGCAGCCATTGCGGTACGAGTTTGATTCTTGGCCAGGGAGGTGACCCGCATGGTGGGGCAGACCTCTCCTGTCCCGCTCACTGTTCCCCTCAGCAGTGTACTTCGTCAGTCTGTCTGCTCTGCTCCCCATTCTGTCTCTGGTGAGTCCTCTCACCCCTTGCATCTCTGGACTGTACCCCAGTTCTTATATGCATAAATAAGTAAGTCTTTAAAAAAATTTAAAAAGCAATTGATCATCCATTGATGGTAACAACAGGCCCCATGTCTGGAGAATTTTGACCACCAGCCATGGGCAGACAGATGGATTTGGGAACCTCTTTAAAAGTGTCACCACAATGATCTCCCTCTGACCATCTGCCTGTCTGAGCTTCTGAAAGTCCCTAAGCCCTGACCTGACTCACATACCTTGCTGCTGCCCCTTGATCGTGCAAATAAACCACTTCTCAAATAAACCACTTTTCTGATTACATTAGAATCTGATTATTTTTCAGGTCAACAGTCTCCAGGCTGCGAGCACAGACCTTCTTTCAGTTCCTTGAATGGATGTTCTTTCTCGTCACAGTGTCTTTGCATCCAATGCGCCTAATCCTGCAAAGTTTTTTCCCATCACACCCTGCTCTTAGGCACCGGATTCTTCCTCTCTGCTCCTCTCAATGGCATTTTCTCAGGGAATTCTTCCCAACCTTCCTGAGTAGGTAAAGCCTCCCTTTTACTTGCTTTCATTGCATTTACACTTCTGCAAAGCTCTCATAATTATGAAGCTGCTGAGGCTTTTTAACTTTTATCTCATTGTGCATTCCTACCATGCAGCAGAGTGTAGCTACTGACCAAATAGTTGTTCATTGACTGAATAAATGAAATAACATTTATCCAAAATACAGTCTCTTTTTCAGATGATTATTGGCTTACCAAGTGATGTTGCTATGGTCTCAACCATGAACTTGAATGCTGTGAGCATTAAAAGGTCAGCAGAGCATTGCAGTACATCTATTTGACACATTTTTATTAGCAGCTGTCTGTGACTGCTGGAGGAATAACCAATGCCCTCGGCCCCAACACCCAAGTCTTTGACCACTGTAAACGGCACCACTTTATATTTTACAGCATAAAATGTTCAGTGAGCATTTGAAATTTGCACTACACATTTTGCAATTTAATCATTTTGAGAAAGGGAAGTAAGCCAATTATCAATTTATTGCCTCTGAGTTCCAAACTCACCCTTTATTTCCTTGCTTGGTGATACTGGAGCTGGCACTCACAAGGACTTCTCCTTTGCCAGCTGGCACCACACCCAGCTTTGTCAGCAGTGTCAGAGGAGGGACAGTGACTGAGGAAGAGATTCCTCTTGACTTGATGGCTTCCTCTCTTCTTGCTCCCAGGATGCAGCTGCCCGAGTTGTGAGTGCGGGAGGCCTTGCAATACCACACTTGCATCAGAATTTGCTGGGGACCCCAGAGGGAGACATTCTGAACCCCAGTGCCTGCTCAGGTTCCCTGCTGACCAGCCTCTTGGGGCTGACCAAGGCCAGTTTGGGCCTGTGACTATCTAGTGAACTTCTGTGCCCCCCCAAAATCCAGCCACCCCCTCTCCACTAAGTCTCGGCTTGGGTGAGTGCCCCTCCCTCCACCTGCCAGGCTGGTCTTCCACTGGGTATGGTCTCTCTCAGCCTTAAAGTGTCCTTGGAGTTCCCTATTATCCCCTCTTAGTGAATATTCACCTGCTACTGTTAATACTTCTTTACATTAAGTGTTCCCTTTTCAAATGACTGGTGTGGATTCCATTTCCTTCAGGGACTCTGCCTAATACAGTGGATCAATGAGCGAAATGTTCGAATACACACACACACACACACAGTTCAAGAATGCCTGCCCTTCTAGGTGAGAAATGTGAGCCAGCTGAGCTTTTTCAGGACCTACTCTAATGATCAGTCTAAAAGCAAAATGCTGCTAGAGGACAAAGCCCAGAGGTCACCAGTCTCCTGTTTCCCACAGACAAGTTGAGTGACTGCATTTACTGAGTGGCAGAGCTGGACAGGAGACACAGAGGCTTGATAGGAGCAATGCCCTGCACCCCCATAACCCCCCCACCTGCCCAAGTCCCTCCCCTCCTTGCCCCCCAGGACACCCTCCAGGAGTTCTACCCCATGACTCACTGGCTTTTTCATGAGGACCCAAGGGAGGAAGACATTTCTCTCAAATAATGGAAATAATTATGTTCCTTCGGAATGGCCACTTCGGAGCTTACTCATAGACAATGCATATCGTGTCAGCACTGGCTCACCACTCAGGCTGGCAGCCAGAAAGCTCAGGGGCAAAGCAGCGACTGTCCCCTTGCAAGGAGAAAGCAGCTCTTGACTCTCACATGTGTCTATCCCCATCTTGAGTCACCTCAGTTTTCATCAGCCTCTTCCTTTGCCTTATTACCTCACATATTTTTATTTTGTTGTCCTTGTATACATCAGACATTTTTTTTTAAAGATTTATTTATTTGTTCATACAGAACTGGGGTACAGGCCAGAGGCTCAGGGGCGGCGAGAGGCTTCACCAGAGACAGAGTGGGGAGCAGAACAGGCAGATGGATGAAGTACACTGCTGAGGAGAGCAGCGGGTGGGTCAGGAGAGGTCTGCTGGGCTGTGTGGATCTTCTCCCGGGCAGGTGGGGATCAAACTCATGCGCAAGTGGCTTCAGCTTCTCAGTGCTGTGCTTTAACCCGCTGCGCCACCAGGGAGGGCCCATCAGACATTTTTTTTTTTTTTTAAAGACTTATTTGTGCATACAGAACTGGGATACAGGCCAGAGAAGCAGAGGCAGCGAGAGGACTCACCAGAGACAGAGTGGGGAGCAGAACAGGCTGACTGACGAAGTACACTGCTGAGGGGAGCAGAGGGCGGGTCAGGAGAGGTCTGCTGGGCTGTGTGGATCTTCTCCTGGGCAGGTGGGGATCAAACTCATGCTGAAGTGGCTTAAGCTTCTTAGTGCTGTGCTTTAACCCGCTGCACCACCAGGGAGGGCCCGCATCAGACATTTTATAGCATCAATTTAAGAAGAGGTTGGTGGCTGTAGTTCCACAATCCACCAAAGTAGGTTTTCGATGACATTCCCTATGGAAAAAAAAGATGAAACCACCCTCCCACTTCTCCTTGAGGATTCCCGCCCCTGCTACTATAAAAACTGTGTGTGGATCCCAAATGTTAAATTGGACTGCATTTGTAAATACCACTTGGAAATAAATAAACATCTCAAAAATGGCCTTTACTTTGAATCTTTCCTGTACTCTGAGAAGAAAGAAAATACATTTTTTAAAGGGGAAGAGAATAAGTTGGTTTTAAACAAAATATTGAATTAAAAGCCTCCATTTCCCTTATGTTAACTCTAGACTTCTTTTCATTGACAGGTTTGCTAACAGCAGAAAAGAATTTAAGCACTTACAGCCCCCAATGAATATGTGGACATCAGATGCCTGTCAGCAATTTGTTCAAATATTTCTAAATTCCCCTTGCTACTTGCTTGCCTAATTAATATGCTTAATAACTTTCCAATGACATAGCCCAATAATAAAAATGTTCAGACTTAACTTCTCAGCAATTCTTTCAGTGTAACAGAGTCCAAACTGATAAAGTTAAACTAGAACAAAGCTGACCCTATGCTCTGGAAAAAAAAAAATCTCTCTCTCTCTCTCTCTTTTTTTTTTTTATCTTATCTATTCATTGAATGGTAGTGTCAAAATTTGGGTGAAAGGTGGTTGGTCTTTTCTTTGTTGTTTTCTTTTTCTTTTGGGGTTTTCCTTTCTTTTTCTCTGTTTTTTCTTGCTGAATAATACTTTCTTTTTGTGTGCGTGGGTTTGATGGTGAGCAATAGCTGCTCAAAACTTTATTTACACCTGGATCCCGTCACTTTTCTCTGCTTCTACAAACTTATTCTACACTTGCTGTTCATCACTGCCAGTAACTCAGACTTTGTAGGGGCAAAATAAATATTTACTGAATAAATCCTCAGGGCTGCTACCAAAATGGGAAATGTTCAAAACAAAACAGCAATCACAGAAAATAAAGTAACTACAGCTGTGGAAATAGAGAAACAACATGCTATCCTTGCTTTTCTTCTCAGCATTTTTCCAAAGTGAGCATAATTTTGTTACACTGCACCAAAGCTGAAAGATGATATACTTGTCTCATTTCAAAGAAATAATTCTAAAAAATGTTTTTCTTCATTTTCTTTACCTCAGAGAACTTGAAGCACTAATGACATTGGTATTCACTTTTTTTTCTCTTTAGGCTCTGTCTCTGAGAGAGATATACATACAAACACACCAGAAGCCTTTAGCTTGTACCCTGGAAATCCTTCAATAAGACAAAATTCAGGCAACCCTACAGACCAACCTAAGGAGAGGATATTCTGGGTAATGGGACGCAAAAATAAATAGACCAAATAAGGAAGAAGCGAGAATAAACCCCAAAGGAAGCATGCTCTTGTCTCCTCTGGAGGTAATCGGTAGATTTCAAGATGATGCTTTCCTGCTGTCTTTTATTTAACTCTCAGTGTGGCTCACAGATAAGCAGGTCAGAGTCTTTTTAGCCATCAGAATATCCATTTATTTCAAAAAATATAAGATCAATTTTCCATGTGATTCAATTGGCTTGTTGGGTTAATGCCCTTCATGCCTTCAAATATATTCTTGTGCCTATTTCTATTACACAAGCCTTTGATCTTCAAAACTAAAGTCTGCATTTCTCTTAGGGCTTTTCTGACATAAATAGCTCAACTGAATCAATGAGGGATGAACCTTCATCTTTGGACACCCTAACTCATCATGCCACTGAGCTAACAGAAACCAAAATAGACAAAGGAATTAGAAGACATACAACATAAATATCTTATTGGCTGATATTTATTAAAGGAAGCTACTAGATTTTCAAGCATATAACCATCTAGAAATTGAATTGGTTCTGAAGCTCTTTGATAAGAAAATATGCTTATAATTTGCAATGTTATCAACCATGTGAAAATGTCTGATGAATACTTTGAAAGCATTTTAACAAAACAGTCTGCCTGAAATGTGTAAATCTTTGCTAAGGAAAGTGCACACATTCTAAGTTTGTGTGGCCTAGTGATTTAAGATCGGATCGTGGTGTAAAAGGTAGTGAGACAGCACAGCAGAGCTTTCTAGATATGGTGCCCAGGCTGGGTATCTGGGACCAAGAGATGAGATGATGGGATATGATGCAGTTATATTTGTCCTTGCCCTATGTGACCAGCATACTTCTGGTAAGAGGTGAATCTTTGAGTAATGAAATTGCTGATTAATTAACCTTCCTACTAGAGAGGGCCTGTTGTTGGTTTTAGCAATGGCATTGACCTTCGAGGTGTACTATCTGAGCATCTCTTTGACAGCTACAGAAGTTCTCCAAAGGCCACTTGCAGGATAATGTGAACAAGTGAATAGGAAGAGAAGCATGGCTTGATAGCACTTGGTAATGTAAATATGACAATTTCTGTTGCTATTTTTGACTCTTGCAGAATTACAATGGGAATGAGGCAGCATGGAAAAAGCTAAGGATTAAGAGGTGCTTAGTTTTGGGGTGAATGTAGAGATAGGAGTTGGTGCAGTTAAAAATAAATGATTCTGTTGCCATGGTTTCCTTCTTTATAAATTCTTTTCAACATGAATTGCTGTTGTTGTGTTTAATTTTAGATTCATGCAGATTTTCAACAAATAAGGATTCCTATACATCTGAGAAATAGTTTTAAAAGGAAAATGTAGGAAAATGTTTCTGGCAGTCTGGCTTAAACATTTCTGAGCAAAATAATCTGCATATTAGAAAACTACTAAAGGAAAGTGAATAAAGAGAATGAAAATTTAGAGAACACATAAGACTGCTTTCAACTTCCTAATTAAAAGATGACTTCCTATTATTGCAATAATCAAGGGTATTTTGAGATTGAGATGACTCTCTGGATTTGCTCTCTTGACAACCAAGCCACAAGGGATTATAGATCCAAATGCTAAATTAGATAAAAATGCATGTGTTAATACCATAAATACTGTGTTTTCAAAATCTCCCATATAGCCTCAAATATCAGAATTACTTGCAATTTATACCTGCTCTAAAATGTCTTACTTTTCAAATAAAATTATAGTGGATATTTCAAATTTGAAAAACATAAATGAAAAAGAAGACTTGACTTTGTCAAAAAATTACTTGTCCTTATATATTAGACAGGATTGTTTAAATAGTAAAATCTCCACAACAACCAATAAAAGATCTGATCATTTACAATAAGGAAAGAAACAAGCTTTTGTATAGAAATGCCTTATAATAAGGTGCTATGTAAACAGTGAACAATAAAATGTTAGTGAATACTTGTTTCAAAAGGATATTTTATGGTTAAGAATTATACAGTATTTCAAATTTCATTCTTATTGTTTGTTTTCTTTTTCTACGGATTTTGAGATTAATGTCAAGCAGCTAGCAGAATGAAAAATTCAGAAGATAAAAGGCATTAATCTAATATAGTGAATGATAGAATTCATTATATCTGAAGGGAAATGGATAAACCATATTTGTCTTTATAAACATATTTTCTAATTTGGTTACTCTGATTTATTATAGTAATTAATCAACTATTTTGGCCATTGCATACTCAATGTTTTCATCTTACTAATTCCATTCTTGTTTTTACTTTTTAAAAAGGAAACCTGAAAACTCAAAAACTAAAAGTAATTCTTGCAGTTTTTTAGTCCAATTATAGTTCCAACAGAACTTTTTGGCATTTCTTTGGATGTACACTAAATTTAAATTTACAAATACAAATTTTGGAGGGCTGTTGGATGTGTGTGTGTATCTCTCAAATATAGATAGATGTATGTCTGCATGCATATACCTCAAAATACATACTGGGTCTTCCCTAGTAGCACAAGGGCTCAGCTCTGTGAAGCTAGCAGAAGCCACTGAAGCATGAGTTCGATCCCCAGTCAGGGAGCTGACCCACATCGGGCAGAAGACCTCTCCTGTCACTATTCTGCTCAGCAGTGTATTTCATTCAACCCGCCTGCTCTGCTCCCCACGCTGTCTCTGGTGAAACCTCTCACTCCCTACACACCAGGCCTTCCCCCCAATTCTTGTAAACATAAATAAATAAAATAAATATTTTAAGCAAAACAAAATACATACTGCAAAAATTGACAGTAGTGAATAGAAATGTTAGTGAGAGATTTCTAAATATCCACCTCAGCAATGCAAAGGAAAATCAACGAAGAGGCATCGAGTTTATAAAAGATTTGAACAACACTTTTAACACACTCGACTTCATGCAGAGCATAGCACCAACAATGGCAGAATATACTTTGTTTTTCATGTAAACATTGAGTAGATACCAAAACTGGCTATAAAGCAAGCTGTAACAAATTCAAAGGATTTTTAATCAGACAGACTATCTTCTTGACTATAAAGAAAGGTAGAAATCAATAATAGTCAAATCACTACAAAACCACCTTTTGTTTGGAAATTAAGTAATATATCAAAAGAAAAGAAACTAGAACACTTACATACTAGTTGTGGAGTGCATATTGATATCCTTGCTTCTGAAAACTGATCCTCTCTAAAAACACTGAAATAGTTGTGACCATTAATGAAGCAATTTTGCTCCTAAGAATGTGCTAGACACAAGTTCATATATATGTTCCCCAAAATCTAGAAATGTCTATGGTGACACTACTTGAAGTAGCGCCCAACTGGTCAATATTCCCGTCAAATGGTCATCAAATATTCACAATAGATATAGAGGCTATATGTATAATATTAATTTGTATATTATTATGCATGATGGAATGAAATAATGATTTATGCAATAACTTGAAAAGTAACAATAATTTACATACTCTATGATCCTATCTATCTAAAGTTCTCTATATAAATTATGTAGCTGGAAATCACAGCTGGGGAAGAAGGGAATTGTTAATGACAGAAGGAGGGCAAAAGAGAGGCCTGAAGATGCCAATTATGGTCCATTTTCTGACCTAGACTGTAAAAATCTTGTTTGTTCATTTTGTAAAAATTCACCCAGCTGGGGCCCTGCCTGGTGGCGCAACGGGTTAAAACACAGCACTATGAAGTTACTGCAGCCATTGCAACATGAGTTTGATCCCTAGCCAGGGAGCTGACCCACATGGTGCATCAGACCCCTCCTGTCTCGCCCGCTGCTACTCTCAGCAGTGTATTTCAGTCCATCTGCCTGTTCTGCTCTCCACTCTGTTCCAGGTGAATCCTCTCACCCCCTAAACCTCTGGCCTATACCCCAGTTCTGTATGCATGAACAAATTAAGTCTTTGAAAAAAAAATCATCAAGCTTTATCCTTAGGGTTTATTCAGGTTTGTATATCCAATTTAAACCAAAAGGTTGAATTAGAACCATGATGTAAACTCTTTTAAATACCTATGGGAATGACAAATGTTCTCTTCTTTGAGAATCTGAACTTATTTTAAAGCTCCAAGATAATGAAGTTGTCTGATAGCTAAAGTGAGTAACTAAACCAAGGAAGCGTGGTCTGGCCAAAAAGCAATGCCATTATAACCTAATGAGATCGGTTATTTTATGAGGCACAAACAGTGGCCCTAATAATATCATTGCAAGAGAAGATATCAAAAGATGTTAGTCAATAGAAAACTGGTAGCAGTAAGTGGATATGTTTCTATGGCATCATACTATTTGTTCATGTGGATATGTACTTAAATATTTAACAGTAGTTCACACATAGCATCTCATTTTGACCTTTCCAAACATCTAGTCAGTGAAGATTAGAATTACTTTGTGAAGGCAGGTGTTATTATCCTATCATTTCTAGATTTTTTGTTTTGTTTTGTTTTGTTTTAAATAGAAACCAGGCAGGTAGGTCCTCAGGCAGTAAATACTGAAGTTCAAGTTCATCACCATATCTAGATTTGTGTTTTATCCACACAATATAGTTAACCAGACATTTTTTAAAAACCACTATTTTCTTTGTACCCTCCCCTCCAAAACCTTATAAAGTGAGATTTTATTTTGGGATGAATCTCTCTGACTCCATTACTTTGTCACAGCTATTTAAATTCAAGCACAGAACTCTCCTTTTAAAATATGCTACTGCATTTACTAGTGTTTGAATGATATCCCAAGTTACTTCTGATGAAATTTTTCTGTCCTCAGAGAATTAATGTGGAACATAGAACTATTACTTGCTTCCCTGTACAATGCATTTCACATAGTATTTGTTGGATATATATTTGTTGGATGAATTAATGAATAAGTGAATGATTACTTTGGAGGAGGAGAAACTCTACAATAGAACACCTCCATGTTGGGACTGAAGCTAGGACCAGCCATATTTTTCTCTGACCTTTCTAACAACTTAGTTGCTGTTCAAGGAAATGTCAAATCTGCTTTGAAGCCACACACTCAGATTCATGTGAAGAACTCTCATTTTGCTGTGAACCTGATTCTCTAGACTTCTGATGTCTTTATTTTAATTTTTATTCTTTAAAATCCCCGTGACTCACAGATGACAATAGCTAGTGGATATATTCAGAGCCAAATTAAGCTTTTGTTGACATATTTCAAAAATAATGTTATCTTGGGTTTCTGGTGACAGGCAGGAAAATACAATTATTATTCTTAGCCAGCTTGTTTGTCCGATGTTCACAGTTGTGAGTTTTAAAAATGCTGGCATGTATATATTTATATGCAATGCACACATGGCTAAACAATTTTTGCAGAACCTAGAGACTTTTTATATTTCCAGCTTTTTGTTTTTCTTCAACTTCAGTGCACATCAATCCACAGAAGAAAGAGATGGCTAACTCGGATTATGAAGAGAGTATTTCCATAGCTCAGGGAAGTGAAATTGAAACCCTCATGTGTTAGCATCTGTCTCCCCAAAGGGTCAGTGTGTTTTTCTCAGATCACCCAGAACATGCAGCATTGTCACCTTGACTTGGCAACAGAAGGTCAACGGAGATTTTCTCATTGCCTGAGTTCTTTGCCCTCTTACTCAAAGAAGCAACCACTTCCCCTCCCTTGTGATCACCTACAAAAACTTAGTTTGGGGTTCAAATCAGTTGTAGGTTTGTCAATGACCACGTGGCCTCCAAGTGTCTCTCAAAATAAGATGAGGTCACGTCCTGCCTTGTCTGTCTTGTGAAGTCTCCCCTACTCTCTACTACATGTCGCAGACCCCTAAAACACAGAAGAAATATCCCACTCCAGTTTATTATTCTTTGGCATGGACAGCCATATAAATTCTTCATTTGCATGTTAGGTTGATTTTTTTTCCTTCACTGACTTACTGGTGCTGTTTAGATTTCATTTCTAGTCATAGAACTCAGAAGGGTTTGACATGATTTTCTTTGCACCCCCATCAGACAAAGCTAATTGTGCACTGAATCCACAACACAGCACGTGAGCCGTTGTCCCGAGAAACATAAATAAATATGTGGCCACACAGAAACTTGCACATGAATGTTCACAAAAGTGGTGTTAACCCAGAGCATGGAACAAAGCAGAAAAAGGCAGAGGGTTGACCTGTGGAACAGGTAGCTGAGTACGCAGATTTACTATACATGCTCGATGCTTGCACATACTTTCTGCCAGAATTTCCTGGAGCGAGATCTTTCGTTTAAAATAAGAACTATTCCTGGGCCTCCCTGGGGCGCAGCGGGTTAAAGTACAGAACTAAAAAGCTAAAGCCACTTCAGCAAGAGTTGATACCCGCCCGCCCCGGAGGTGACCACATGGCGCCCGCAGACCTCTCCCGACCCGCCTACCGCAGTATACTTAGTCGATCTGCCTGTTCTGCTCCCCACTCTGTCTCTGGTGAATCCTCACACCACTCCTGCACCTCTGGCTTGTACCCTAGTTCTGTATACATAAATAAATAAATAAATAAAATTTTTTTAAAAAAAAATAAAATAAGAACTATTCTTCTGTCACATCCACTACATTTTTTCCAGCTGTATATGTATTCATCTGCCTGGCTGGTTCCATGATGAGTGTCATTCTATTTGTTTTTAACACATGTTAATGACTTTTGTTCAATAAATGAACACTATGCATTTAATTTCTTAAATTTGGATTTAAATTACTCAGTAAGATCTCACAATCAAGATAGTGGGTTAAGGCGTCACAGAACAATAATGTGTGGGGTGAAATAACCTCAAGGTTATTCATAATCCTGTGCAGAAGAGAAATATTGCCCCAGTTCGCCACTGCATGGCGAGGGAGAGAGGCTGTCTTTAATGAGATGTAAACTCCTAGATTGAAATAGTGACCGCATTCTGCATAGAGCTTTCAAATTCCATCACAGTTGTGTAAATATTTGTGGTGGGGGGTGAAATGAGAGTCATGATACTGCTGATTCTCATCCGGGGAATGAAGTTAATGGAATCCTGAGCTGGCTTTGCATTTCTGAGATGGCAAGTTAAGTTCTGTTCCACTTACCATCATTTTCCTCCAGAAAAGCAAGATGCTTTTGCTGCACTCACTTCTTTCTCTCTTCCCTTCTCAGGTTGCAGCTGTCTGGGCTCCATCAATCTTTCAGCCTTAATCCCGGCCCAAATCTTCTATTTTCCTGCCACATCACAACATTTGAAGAGAAACAAACTTACAATTTGATTATTGCTTTTAACAAGATAGAAAGGATTATGCATATCATCTATCAATTTTGAAATGTAGGCCACATAGGACATCCATGTGACAGAAAAGCATGCTTTTTCATTTAAACTACAATTTTCTGTATAGAAGGAAAGATTCAACTGGGATTGTTCAGAGTGAAATAAATATGCTGTAACCAACTTTGCAGAATTTCCATCTGTGAAAATGAAAATAGATCTGCATATCCTCTAAAGCATTTAGATTTTTTTTTTTTTTGCTTTAAAATTGTGTTCTCTTGCATTTGATTGTCACCAGCAAATATTAAAAGTGATACGTTTTTCTAAAGGCTGGTACTAAACAAGAATTCATATTAAGTAGAAAGAATCAAATAGGCATTGTTCTTTGTACTCATTTTCCTTCCAAAACGACTTCAACTTGCCTGATTGTTACTTTTAAAGTAAAAGGAAGAATCGAATCTGTAATCGACACGATTTCTCAGTTTGACAAAAATTGGTTTGAACAATTTATGCTACAGGAAGATGTCAAAAACAGTTCAGATTTTACTTTTCTGAAATTGATTGCTCTGCAAGCCAGTCTTATACTTTGAGTCTACCAGTCTTTAATAAAAGATAGGGGGTAGTTTTATTACAGTATTTATGCAGAATAATACCACTATTCTGCATTTTAAAAGCATCTTTAACTTGGAAAAGCTTGTTTATCTTCTATCTTTCTCTGTCCTAATTCAGGCTGGGTAGAAATCCATCTCACAGATGAAGAATTATATTACAACAGGAATAAATAATTTACTGTCCATACAACAGTGGTCTGCTCCACGTGCACCTAGGACCCTAACACCCAGTGCAACTCACTCAAGGTGGTCCCCCCACTAATGTAGCCAAAGGGTCATGTGAACAGAGACTTAAAGATCACATCTCCCTCGGTTCCCCCAGCCGCTGGTGGTCAAAGCTGTTGTGAAGATGGCTGCCACAGGCTTGCCTTAGAATTAGAAATTAAGGAAGGAACCAGAAGGGGGTGGGGACCGGGGCAGGGTGGCAGGAGGAAGTAGAGAGGATTTCTTTCAGCAGTTTACTAAAATTTCACCTCTAGAAGTCAACATTTTGTTTCCAGAATTACAGATTTCTAATGGAAATAACGCCTTCCATCCTGCATTTGCAGAATTGCAGAATTCTCTCTTGGAACTGTATAAGTCAAGAAGGCTTGCTGAAGTTACTGGAAGCTCTGAGGTGAGGAGAAGGGACAAAGGGGAGATTAAAAGCCACATGGCAGAAGAGGGGGATCCACGGCATGGATAAAAACAATACATTTTGAAGAAAATGGGGAACTTACACAGACATACAACACAAGCCAGCAAACCTTCTCAGTGATACCCCTGGAAGCTAGCTGGGGTCATCCCAGCAGAAGGCTGTGCACCCTGGCAATGAACAGAAAGAAGAATCCAGAAGGGTAAGGTTGAGACAAGCCCTATTGGTCATTAATTCACAAATGAGAAAGATTTGCATCTGCTACCAAGATCCTATCTGTAAACACTTCAGCTAAAATGTTCTTAATTCTTCTGCTATGTCCATTATACACCATTGTTCCCTTTTTGCTACAGATCCCAAAGAAGTCGCCTCAAGCTGTTGTTATCCTTTTTGGTAACTGCTGATTCTGGGTAGCCTCCGAAACAAAGCAGCAGGAAACACATTTCCAGAAAGGGAAGGAAAAGAGTCTCTTCAAGTGCTTTTTGGATGACTTTGGAGATGTCTTGGTTGCCAGCTCCAGGCTCCTTTATCTCTTCTCTCAAATTAGGAAGAAAAACCTGTTCTTCCTGACGGCATTCCTTCTCAACAATGTTCCTTTCTTATACCCAGATGGTGCCCTTTGAACTTTAAAGCTAAGGAACTTTGTTCCCACTGTAAATCGTCCCCATGGTCATGTTGCTTTTCCATTTAGCTGCCAAGCTGGGGAGAATTGGCAGTTACACCGGACAATTAGCACTTTGAAATCTTATACCGCCACATATGTAACAGGTTAGCGCGGTGCCTGGACATGACAGGGCTCACCAACGCCAGTGCCTTCCTTCCCCTGGGCACTGTACAAAGCAAGGTCTATTTGCACTTCTACCCCGAGCTAGAGGGGAAGGAGAATGAGAAAGTGTTTTTTGGTGTCCTAAAAGGGACTAGATACAGAAGAAAAGAAAAATGAGACAGTTGTTAGTCCCTATTGCAAAGGTCTGGTTTAGCTGTGTAGGTCATGAAAGTAAAGCCTGAAAAAATCAAAGGGAGAGAAAGACAACAGAAAATAATAATATTAAACTTCTTGAAAGCAATCACTTTTATCGCCAGTTTAAAAAGTCCCAGGCTCTAAAAACTCACAGTTCAAGTATTATTAACACTAACTGTAGGTCCGTGAGTGAACTCTATTAATGAGTAGGGAGGGATATAGTTTTAAGTTTATCCCTAGCGCTTTATTTAGCACAATCCCAAATGTTATCACCTAGAAGAAATAAGCAATAGCAGGGTTGTTATTTATATAATCTGTGAAAATAAGCACGAACCCACTCTCCTAGTCTCTGAATAAAACCAGACATATGGTGGGTATTAAAAAGCAAATGTGGTCTATCGCAACTTCGTCAATTTTTGTTTGTTTTTAATGGAGCTTTCACTTAGTGGAATTTCTCGCTGCAGTCTTCTTTTAAGAATTCTCTAAAATACTACCTACCCTTCAAAACCCCTTAAATCCAGAGGAAGGTGGCTCCTAAAAGTATTCAGATTCACCTTGGTGGCAATGTGGCAATTTAATCAACTAAAATGTATATAAGACTTTCGAGTTATTCCTGGAGTGTTTTCCTGAGCAAAAATAACCTATACCCTTGGTGATGGGAAACCGGGGGGATTACAATCGAGATGGAAAAAAAAAATGTACAAAATGATGTAAAAATAAACTTTTGTAATAAAAAAAAAGTTAGTTAATTGCAAAAAAAAAAATAAAAAATAATAACCTCTACCCTTCCTCCGCCTAATGGTCAGTGCAAATGTGGATCAGTGTTTGAACACAGCCATAACCCAGATTGTTTTCCAGGGGGAAACTACACTGGATTTGCTTGAGCTTCTGAATTTAATGAAGAGACTAGAAGAGAAGTCAGATTAGTTTTAGCTCTGTGAACCTGAGCACTATCTGCCTGATTCGCACTCTCCTCCTCTACTAAATAGGATGAGAATCCATGGTGCCGATCTCTACATGAGAGAGAATTTCATAAAAATAATGTAATGTACAGTATTATTCCCAGATTTTGTACATTTCACACACAGATTTTGAGTGTTCCTCCCTCCATACTGATAATATTTACCCTGAATATTTATTAGCTGTCACCCAAATTTCTGGTGTTTCTAACCAGAATAAGAAGGGGGTAAACCTCATATACATAATCCCCCTTTATTCCTCTGACTCTGAGCCCAGGCTTCTGAAAGGCTTTTTTTTTTTTTTGCCTATCCTCTCTGCAGATTGCCTGATCTCACTTGGGACAGGGAAAAAGGTGCTTCTAAATTCAGTCTAAGTGGATTTAACATATGGCATTATACCTTCCCGGTCAAGAGATCCAAGTGTTTTCAGAAAACACAAAGCTGGGTGGCAGAAACTGAAGGCAAACTATTCAATGATTTGAAGAAAAACAGTGACTTGGACGTGTGTGTGTGTGTGTATGTGTGTGTAAGCTAAATTTTTTTCAGCAAGTTATTTATGCTATTAAGATAATTTTACAGTACAACCAGGACATATTATTTGGCATCTGTTACGTGTGTCAATTGGACTCTGCTCCAAAAGAGTTAATATGACTTGAACTAGCAAATTATCATTATTCAATTTGATGATAAGAATAAATAGAAGGTTTTCTTTATAAGACCCAAAGGGTCAATTAAAAGGCGAAATATAAAAGATGAAAGGGAGGGTGGGACAGAGAATAGAATAACAGTTTTATATTAGAAATGATATTTTAAAAAGACTGATTCAAACCTTACAAGTTTCTTAGAAACAAAGAAACAAGCTTAAATAATGTATTAATAACAAAAAAAATTAAAAATGTAAAACCCCCTTTTCTTTTAGGTGAGCTTGAGTGGTCTGGAGGTAAAGAGTGGTAACAGTGGCTGTATCTGTGAACTTTAGCATACATTTAGTAAGAAACAAGTTTGCTTTGCCAGAGTTCTTTATTGCTTAAGAGGGGGTAAGACTTCAAAACTACGCAGAACAAACTTCTATGTCTGTCACTGAATAGGAATATCTACAATATCTGCAATTACGAATATTCTTATAATTTGTTCCCAGTTGCATGAAAGGGATGCAGGTACTCCAGGAAAACAGCAGCTAAGAGACAGAACTCAAGTGGAGGAAAAGCCAGAAGGAAAGGGCTCGTGGCTTTGCAGGGAAATGCAGCTGGAAACTTTGTGCACACTGCCATCTAATGCACCACTGAGAATCTGCAGATGACTTGGGAAGTTAAACTAGGAGTAAGAAAAATGAAAAGAACCTCCCAATGCGGAAAGTCGTTATCAGGATTTTACTTAAAGTTAAATAATTGCTCTGTGCCTTCCCTTTTAGCCTATCAATAGTACCTATTTTCTGAATACTTGCCACCTCTCATCTTTACTAACTTCCAAACCATAGATTCTTTTCATTATTTTATCAGTACAGTGCATCAAGTAGTATTTAAGCAACTTTCTATCTGAAAACTATTTTTGCAGTTCAGAGAAAATAGGTCATTGAAATCCATCACTTCCAAAACTCCAGAGATCTAAAAAAGATCCCATGAATCTCTTTGTTCAACATGGAATGAGATTAAAATGTCAGATATTATATTGGAAGCTATCCATCCTGTATTTGACATGACCGTCTTCATTGTCTCAAGACTGTTTCAAAAAAAAATCTTTTTTTAAATCTTCCATGGATAAGGTAAAAGAAACACATCGTGCATACACATTAAAAATCTCAAAAGTGGGCCCTCCCTGGTGGCGCAGCGGGCTAAAGCACAGCACTAAGAAGCTTAAGCCACTTCCGCATGAGTTCGATGCCCGCCTGCCCTGGAGGAGATCCACATGGCGAGGCAGACCTCTCCTGACCTGCCCGCTGCTCCCCTCAGCAGTGTACTTCATTAATCTGCCTGTTCTGCTCCCCACTCTGTCTCTGGTGAATCCTCTCACCCTCCGCATCTCTGGCCTGTACCCCAGTTCTGTATGAATAAATAAATAAATCTTTAAAAAAAAAAAATCTCAAAAGTTTGGGCCCTCCCTGGTGGCACAGCGGGTTAAGGCACAGCACTAAGAAGCTTAAGCCACTTCCGCATGAGTTTGATCCCCGCCTGCCCTGGAGGTGATCCCCTTGGCGCGGCAGACCTCTCCTGACCGGCCCACTGCTCCCCTCAGCAGTGTACTTCATCTATCTGCCTGTTCTGCTCCCCACTCTGTTTGGTGAATCCTCTCACCATCTCTGCACCTCTGGCCTGTACCCAGTTCTGCAGTTCTGTATCCATAAAAATAAATAAATCTTAAAAAAAAAAATCTCGTAACTTTTATAGTCTTTACAAATGGAATATTTGTGGAACATACTTAAACATGTATGAACCACTTCTTACACAGCATGTTGTTAAAGGACTCTACTAAAACTTCAAATGAGTCGAATAGTCATTTATATAAAATCTATCGACAAGTAAGTTGAAGTAATCCTGTATTCTTTGGTTTCACTGCTAGAAAATAACTGATGGTTATCTTGCTGCACCAATTCCCACCCTAGAGAAGCTGAAAATTGCATTTACCAAAAAAAGATGACTTTTGGGCCCAGAAAGATGGCGAGGTAAAGCTAAGAGTGGGAAAGCGTGCTCTGCCAACTTCTCCAGCCTCAGCTGAGATCAGTCTTTCCTGTAAGCAGAAGATAGGTAAGGGTCAAATGAGAGGCAGTTGTTTACATTTACAGAGGCAGAATGTTTAAAAAGCAATGTGCACATTCCTCAGTTGACTCAGTCTGCTGAGTGAGACCAGTGAGCGGGGGAGAAATCAAGGAGCTAAAGCGGCTGTGTTTGAAAAGTCACACTCCAATAGGAGAAAGAAGACATCTTTACAAGTAGGTAGCCTATGTTAGGATTGGAAAAAGGGCTAGTGCTTAGCAGAGTCTGCACCCAGTAATTTTGGTTGTTGTGAATGTTTGGATGTGTGGATAATTATTTGGTAAATGAATTAGTCAAAGGGTATAAACTCCCAGTCATAAGAAGAAGGTATAGGAGTCTAGTGGACAGCATGGTGATTATGGGTCATCGTACTATGTCAAATACTTGGAATTTGCTACGGGAATAGATCTAGTGTTCACACACACACACATACAAATGGCAAGATGATGAATGTGTTCATTAGCTTGTTTGTGGTGATCATTTCACAATATACAATATAGGTATTCATCATAAAAATGCACACAATTTTATTTTTCAATTCTACCTGAATAAAGCTAGAGACTTACATACATGTGTTTGAGTACAGATATACCTACCTATCTATCTGTCTGTCTGTCTGTCTGCCATCCATCCGTCCATCTGTCCATCCGTCTCCATCCATCCATCCATCCATCCATCTGTCTATTCACTATCTGAGCCAAACTGATTCAACTGCCCTTCTGACATTTAGGATGCCAAATGTCATATAAGGATTTTTATCTTGTCCCTTTTGGTATTTCTACCAATTAGTTTCACCTTTCATCATGTTGACTAGCTTTGAATGTTTTATCTGATGAGAAATGCTTTTGCTAATTTTTTTACATTTTACTTTTAAATGAGAAGCAGAAAGCAAAATGGGATGTTGGATACAATGAACAGCTTTAGTTCATACAAATTAATCATTTTATGCCTGAAGGTGTTTTTTAATTTCACCAAGTCCCCAACCAGCACAGCTATCTGTATTAGGGAAGAAATGTTATTTTAAAAATATCTAAATTCCGTATCTTAGAAAGGGTCTCAAGTAGCTTGTTCATATGAGATCTCTGATTACTTTTTTTCACTCAATAGCTATCTAACTTTCCACTCTTCTGTGGATGATAGACGTGGTTTTGTGTTTTTAACTAAAAATGTATTCATTTCCCTGCTAATATCTATAGTTTCAGTTGATAATAGTTACAAGCTCTCACTTGTTCCATAGGTGGGATTATGGATGATTTAGTTTGATCATCACTATATACATATACATATAATTTCCTGGAGAAGATGTAGGGTTCACTGATAATCTACAGGAAACTACATGTTCTTAAAAATATGATGAAAGTCTGTATTCTAGGTCTTAACCCCAACTGAGTAGAAAATGTTTTTCTTCCAAACTTTTGTATGAATTTCCAATATTCAACTACAGTAACATCATGCTCAAATATCTATTTCAAAACTACAGAAAGCTACTTGTTGACTTTCTCTGTGATGGTGGCTGTATAACAGTTCTATCTCATAAATTTTATGATTACTAATCATCTGCTGTATACAGTATTTAATTTAAAGTAAAGTAGCCATTCTTACAGAATGGAATTTTGTTTCTGGGACTTCATAAAAGTGAAAACTAGGATGCATGTTGAAAAAAATTACTTTGAATCCTATAAAGGGCAATTCTTATCAGTTTTACTTTTCTTTCTTCACCATAACTTCCTCTCCATTCTATTTTATCCTAAATCTCTATCCTAATTTTCTAAGAGATTTACCTCTTCTCTCCCAAACTTTATATTTCTCTAGTCTAGATATTACAAATCTCAGTTGTGGAACTGTTCATTTCTGTGAAATAGAACCAAATTTCTTAACTTCAAAGTTATTCTTAGCATGAACACATTAACAAGATTTGTTATATTAAGAGTTTATGGCTACAATAATAAATCCTATATCATCAATATCAATATAAAATAGCAGATTATATCTTTTCTACCCATCATCTATAAAGATAATTTCTATTACACAAGCATCCCCCTAAGACATTTTCATTCTAAGTGTAGATACATTTCTGTTAAAGGTTTGAACATTCTTCTATATTTACAGCTTTTGACTAATGTTCTTGGAGAAAAATACCTAAGGAAACCAACCACCTCACCTTCCATGATGCTAAAAAGAGTTAATGCTACTGGCTTATAACAATTAAGAGCTGTACTCACTGAAGAGCCATCGGTCTGTCAACATTGCAAAAGGTAGCAGGGACGAAGAAAAACTCCAGTCCGCTTTCTATCATCAGGCTAATCCTTATTTTGCTACAGCTGTTGGAGTGTGTCCTTGGCTGCTTCACCAACTGGTACTCTTCTCTCCCCCAAGAGTTGACTATGCAGTAACATTTACGGTTCCAATGTCCCAGCCTGCCCTCATCCTACTTCAGGGTTCTCATTTCCCTAGTCCTGGTGAGGAAAGAGTTCATTCATGTCATTAATAAGTCATTTCTACTCTGTGCCTATTCTTACTCATCTGAGTCATCCGCTCCCTTGCTTGGCAATCATCTCCACCATTCACACCCCAGAAGGCAGGAAATCAAGAGGATTTGAATCATTTTAACTAGAGGTTAGGAACAAAGCACTAAATATTAAGCATTAGCTTTCTATGCTTAAAAGTCCTTCAACTCTCACTATTTCTAGAGAATTTTTACTCATTAGACTTTCTATTTGGGCAAATTCCCAACATATTTTAGTCCTCTCTCTCTTTTTCTGATCAACTCCTACCATCTCATTTCTCTTCATTTTATTTTCAGCCAATTTGCTGATCTTCTGTTTTGCTATCTTCTTTCCAAGTCAAACTATCAAATATTTTCTTAAGCAAAAGTCTCCAGAGAAAAATTATGCCACTTCCTTTGAGGCACAAGCAGCTATGTTATTTGCAATTTTAACTGGCATATATTTTTCTTTCCTTTTACTTTATTTTATTCAAAAATAGTTCATGTAGACCTTAATGTCAGTGTCATAATAACCAAAGATGGTGCATGAATACCCTCAAGCTTCAGAAGTGTTGCTGCAAAAGCAAAGATTTATAATAAAATAACTGGGGATCATTAAGAGAGCTATGATGAAAAAATTAAAATACTCATTTTCTGTTTCAATAGAAACCAACTCAGACATTTTAAAAGGCACTACTTCTCTTTTTCTATTTCTAAGTGGGAGCAGTACAAAAACATTCAGCTGACTGTGACTAAGTCATTAATTGAACAGTACACTAAATAAATTAAAGGAGTGAATGCCTTGTAAAAGTACAAGGCAATTGCAGTTATGATTAGGGAAGCTGAGGTGTAGAACACCCAGAGAGAGAGCTGGCGGAAGTATTAAAGAATCCATATGTGGCCCACCTGGCTGGGAAAGAAAACTAGAGACGAAGTCAAATGAATAAATCAGAAAAACAGATCAAAAAGGAAGTTGAAAGTGAGATAAATGTAAGAAAAATCAGAAAAGAAGAAAAACCTTCCTCTTTATTATGACCAAAACTTGGAGAGTTAAAGGGGAAGATAACAGTTAGGAGAGATACCTAAATGTACTGTGTCCTTTCTGTATATAGTCAGTCTGTTTATAAGTTGTACTTATAATCATAAGTAATGATTTGGGTGACTTACTATGGATTTTATGTGGGAAGCAACAGAAATGAACTCGACTTTAGGGAATAAAAGAAATTGTTAAAGCATATCCGATATCTCCAAGATTTCATTTTGGGGAGGTAAAGGTGGGAAGATTTGGAGGAGTCTCAGAAAGGAATAGCTGCCAGCAGAGACCCGCCACTGAACGCTCAGAAGGATGTTCTCGTTATCAGTAGGAGTTGACTGTTCTGTTTCCGTCATCACTGTGGAAATTTCTCATCAGTCATTTCCCCTTAAGATTCAGATGTTCAAAGTTCTAGGCAAGAATATCTACACTGAGCCTGGGTCCCGTGATAATTTTTAGGGTAAAGGAGAGAAAGAAATTGAAATGTCTCTTACTGCAGCTCACAGGCTATGGGGAGATTTCCTCAAAACTGAAGTCAATCCTCTGCCTTACCATCAAATAAGACACCTCCATAATCTACCTAAACCCTGAACATTTGACAGTGCAGTCACTTTGACTGAGTTAGGCAGAGAATTTAGTTCTTCTGATTGATCTCTTGAAATAGGGATAGGGTCGGGAGACTTACTGGGTGGGGTGGAGCAACAGTGTGAGAGGCTAAGAGTGAAGGCTGTAAGTGCATGATTTAAATCTCAGTTATAACATTAATTATATTTGAACTGGGGGGGTGTTTGTTTCAATGTCCGCGAGGGTAGTTAAAATGGAAATGAAAATGTTATTCCTCTCAGAGTTACTGTGAAGATGAAATGAAAAATGCTTTCTGGGTTACCTGGGACGTGAACAACAGCGTATGAAATAACCTAGCATTTAGATGTGTAACTTCTGTTCCTAGTGTTGTCAACACATGAATTACTAGGACAGTTACTCTAAACAAATTTCTTTATTTTTTTCACTAATTTCATCTGTTATTTTTATCTTCTTTTTTTAATTGAGGCAACATTGGTTGACGACACTGATTTTTACGACTATAGCTTCACATCTTGACAAGCGTAGGTGCCATTGTGTCCAGAACTACCATCCACCACTACCCAACCACCCCCTTCTATCCACACCTCACACCCAAGTGCCCCCTTACCCTGAGGTCTTTTGATCCCTCTTCCTGCCAAAGATGAGGAGAGTCCCAGTATCAGCCTCCACATCAGTGATCTCAACAGCTTTATTGAGTCATCCTCCCTTAGGTTGAGCCTCAATCTCCTTAGGTTGCCACCTTGTGAATAAAAGGCATCTTCTTCTATCTGTATTCCTGAGTTTCACATTAGATTTTTAAAAAATATTTCAACTGCCTTTTTTTTTTTTTTTTTTAAGATTTACTTATTTATGCATACAGAGCTGTGGTAAAGCCAGAGGTGCAGGGGCTGTGAAAGGATTCACCAGAGACAGAGTGGGGAGAAGAACAGGCTGACTGACAAAGTAGACTGCTGAGGGGAGCAGCGGGCAGGTCAGGAGAGGTCTGCTGAGCCACATGGATCACCTCCAGGGTGGGGATCGAACTCATGCTGAAGTGGGTTTAGCTTCTTAATTCTGTGTTTTAACCTGCTGTGCCACCAGGGAGGGCCCTCAACAGCCTGTTTGAGGACTAACTGTTTGGCCACCAATCTGTAATTCCCACCGTGAGTGAGCTCAGAAGCTAGATGGTCTTGGCCTCCCACATGGCTCTTTCACACCAAGTTGTATGATCTTAGAGAGTAACCTAATATCTCTGGATTTCATTCTGTACAAAGAAGCTAATGAATCTGGGATACAAAAACTTTCTTTTATTAAGATCTCAATGATTTTTCATTAGAGTAAGAAGCTTCTGGTAGAATGCTGCAATAGAAAAGGTTCTACAACTGGTACTGATGTTCTCAGGAAGGTTTGCAGTAAGTTAATATAAGATGTAACTGGCAGGGGCTCTGTCAGAAACTAAAATTAAGAGCACTCCATCCCAGAACTTTATAACATTTTTTTAAAGAATTATTTATTTATGCATACAGAACTGGGGTACAGACTAGAGGTGCAGGGACGGTGATAGGATTCACCAGAGACAGAGTGGGGAGCAGAACAGACAGAGGAAGCACACTGCTGAGGGGAGCAGCGGGCGGGTCAGGAGAGGTCTGGAGCGCCATGTGGGTCAGCTCCGGGGCGAGGATCCAACTCATGCTAAAGTGGCGTTAGCTTCTTAGTGCTGTGCGTTAATTCGCTGCACCACCAGGGAGGCCCTATAACATTATTTTAAGAAAAGTGTTTTCCTCCTGTCACCTCACCACCACTGGGTGACACTGGAGGAGGCAGCCACTAGGTGGCAGTAACGTTGGACAGCATGAAGGTACTGGATGCCATGACATGGCTTGGGCCAGTTCCTCCCAGGAAACTGTTCTAAGCAAGTTGTAGGCTCCAACTTTGTCTGCACAGTGGAATCCTTTGCAGGACTTTTCAAAAGCCCCTATCTCCAGGCTCCAACAATAGAAATCTACAGTGTAACTTTATAAAAAGGGAGGGACATAAGGAGGGAGAGAGGGAGGAATCACATCCTGGGAAATTTCTGTTTAAGGTCATCTATGCCATTTCTCTGTTTCCTTGAAATATCCTAAAATCTGTGCAGATGAAACAATACCCTTAGATGAATTCTTGTTACTTCTCTTGTTTGTGTGTTCTATTAGCTCAAAAGCTTTACAATCAAGAAGTTAGAGTTGAATCTAAATCCCTCCCGTTGAAAGCTAAGTCCTATTACCCCTGAGGTTAGCCCAGAGAAAACACGACTTGTTCACGAGACTTAGCTTTCTCTCTGTCCTTGAAGTGTCTTCTCACCTTACACATGATGACTTTTTTTTGTTTTTTTTTTTTTTTAATTTATTTATTTGTTCATACAGAACTGGGGTATAGGCCAGAGGCACAGGGATAGTGAGAGTCTTCACCAGAGACAGAATGGGGAGCAGAACAGGCAGATCGACCAAGTACACTGCTGAAGGGAGCATTGGGCCGGTCAGGAGAGGTCTGTCGCACCATATGGTCACCTCCGGGGCAGGCGGGGATCGAACTCTTGCTGACGTGGCTTTAGCTGCCTAGTGCAGTGCTTTAACCTGCTGCACCACCAGGGAGGGCCCATGAGTTTTTTTCCGTGCTTGAGGAACATGATTCAACATTTCTACTGGACTGTGGTGTGAATCTGTTCACAAGCAACCCAGAAATGTACCTTTCATGTTTTGGAAGCTGAGTCTTCTGAGAGCAAGAGTCTCCCACCAAGAGCCATTAGGGGTATGGGATGGCAGGACAAGACATTTGGCTTCCAGTCAGAGCAACCATCCCACTGGCCTTTGGCCACAAGCTCCTGGTAGTAGCTTGATTTTATTAAACCTGTCTGCCAATCCAGGGAAATGAAAAACGCCTCTTTGGCAATCTTCAGTCTGACTCAGTGTGCCTTTAAGCCAAGACATGAAATATGATAGCTACTGTTACCCAGTACCTACTATATGCCAAAAGTGTTGTAACGATTAAATAAAGAAGGAAATTTGTGAGCAGAGCATACTGCCAGGAACACAGTCATCTCAATAAATGGTGACCAGTGTAGGCTTTATAACTAATCCCCAAAAGGACCTTCAAAGGAACCTTATCATTTGACCCAGACAAAAAAAATTCAAGGTTCAAAGTGGTTCATTACTTGCCCTCAGCTCACTGGTAAATGGCTGAGCTGCTATTAAATGCAAGAACACTTTTTAGCAACAGAATCTTGCCTAGGGTTGAGAGGGTAAAACATTTGCAACTGTTTATGGTGGTTTCTCATGGTTGAGTGGAGATTTAATAAATTACTTCCTTTTCGTTTGCACAAGATCC